AGTCTGTTGGAAGTTCTCCAGCGTATCCCGAGTTGCGGATTCAGACTGAAAGAATAAGGCCGATTTTCTTTCAATTGATCAAGTGCTTTGGTTTCACTTTCGATACAAATGGCGTGCATTCTGACCGCGGGAACTTAAGAGTCACTCAGCAAATATCAGCTACTTGCGACCCTTCTATGAGTTCATCAGTTACTACGGCACTTTTACAAAATCACTGTAGGAAGCGTAAGTCCATCGCAGCAGGTGTCTCCTTGCGGTGGTCCCTTGTACGTGAAAGATCTTTACACACTTGAAGTCAGTGTCGAATTGTGATCCGCAGCTGGTTCTTTACCAGCAACCCTTGCTGATCCTAGTCGCCACCGCCGACAAGAATTACAGGGCTGGCGGAGTCATACTCCCTGCCGGTTTTCAGCTAGTTCGTAGAAGACTGTCGTGTGTGTCGCAAGACCACAGAGGATTATGGTCAGGTCGAGAAAATACACCTGGCCATCGTCTTTGCTGTCTAGATATTCCGCAATGCAGCCGTCCGTTCAACTCTCCGTTACGGCCCATTAGATCAGCAGACATAAAGAGGCTAGTTACGTTGGACGACCGCTGCCTTCGCAGTGTGACTCGCATCTAGTGGGAACACCGCGTGAGCAACGAGCGTGTTCGACGCCTTTTTTATGATACAAGAAGAAGAAACGAATCGCTCAGCACCGTTATTTCACACACCAGGATCCGATGGCCCGGCCATGTGTTGCGTATGCCGACCCACCGACTCCCGCGACGTGAGTTGCTTGCACGCTGGAGGTGTGGATAGGAGAGGAGGAGTGGCCAAGCGATGAGTCGGTCGTGAGCAACGAAAGCGCTTACTTCGACGTTGGCCTCGATCAAAGCCTCTCGGCTCCCTGGTTGTGGTCCGAAAGACGATGAACACGTTTGGCTGGATACACTTGTTGGTGTGGCTGAAAACCAAACGCAGTGGCGTTCGTGTTGTGAGTTTGCTTGTCCCTCTCCCACCCGCTTAGCCTACCCGTCCAACCCCGATCTCACTTCCTAGCATATTATAAATTTTGCATATAACTTTTTAAGGGCACAATACATGCCGGTAGCTTTCCGAAACGATGCCCATCCGTTACTGGTAGCGCAGCTGCTGCGCACCAGTTTTAGGATTTTTTTTCTTTCGTATGTATTGCGGCACAGTAGCTGTGTTTTCTACTCCTAGGTAAGGTATAAGGATGATGATGCGAGATTCCGCAAGTTGATGTATTATCAGTTCCACACCTCGTTGATCAATCACAGGCGGTTATTAGTAAGCTGACTTCAAGATAGACATCTCGGTATACCCGACCTACGGATTTCAGTGATGAACCGAAATACCTCTCGGTCGAGTTTGAAACCCAATTTTACTGCACTCAGGATTTTGAGAAAGCGCGTGGTTCCTCTTACCTCATTCCGAAACAAGCAACAGAAGACGCAGTAGTCGCCACTAGTACTGTCGAGAACTCTGCTCGCCGTTAGTTTATGGGTGTTTTTTGCAATATCCGTTGGGGACCTGAACAGACTCTGTCCTCTGCCGCGCTATGACACGTACAAAACCGCAGACTCTATATCATCTTACCTGGTAAGCTAAATTTATGGGCGAACGTATAGTATCAAGCCTATTGACGAGTCATGGATGGATTCTTATGCTACTCCTGTTGCTCTCGCTATGTCTACTGTCTCCATTACTCAAAATACATTTACAGACCTTCCTACGTTCCGTCTTTCAACTACACTTACGACCTTTCCGGTCACCGCCAACAGCAGCTCACTGATTGCATCCAGATAGAAGTAGGAATCAAACTCTTGTCCTGCGATCACAGCTTTCTCACATTCCCCCAAGGCTTCAGCTTTTCTTCAACCTGATTCTCCATTCGGCCTCGCACTGTTTGCACTCTGATACAGATCGGACGGCAAGCTTGACTGGCTCGCACCCTTGAGACGCTCTCGTTAGTCATTTGCTGCCTTTCGGAAACCAGACTGCAAGACTCCCGTTTCGCCATAAGAATGACCTCTCCGGCAAATTCTGATATCAAATACCAATTGTGTCTTTACGGGTACCCAGAGGATGCTGCTTCTGGCCAGACTGTTGTTGCGGTTGCACTGAGTGACAGGGCTGAGGCCGCTCTGCTTGACTGGATCCCAGTCAACAGTCGGGTGTGTGCCGTCAGACCACGAGGTTCATGGACGTTAAGTACGTGCCGAAGTGTGGAACGCACCTGATTTGTCGTCTCCGCTTACGTTCCTACAAATAGCAGGCCGGATGCAATCAAGGAATGTTTTAAGTAACAATTCCAAAAAGTCATATATATATATATATATATATATATATATATATATATGGAATCAGACATCTGCATATCGATCACCTCAGTTATTTGTATGATGAGCCCTTGTGCCATAATAGTCATTGTTAGTTTAACCTCGATAAGTCGACCATGTGAAGGTTAACTATGCAACGGTCGCCGAACGAACGTTTGTTAAAACAATAATGCGCAGGCAGCGGGATTTTGTAACTTGCGAAATTCTCCTGAATCACGGTCACTTTATTCAAAGGCTCCACAGAGGTTTGACGATACAGCTTTCAAAAATTGACCTTGGCCGTTTTTGTGCTGTTTCCTCAAACAAACACGCGTCACAACTACCCTGTAGAACATGTGCCTATGCTTTGCACAGGTCGCAATCAAGAGTGTGAGTGCCATTCTAACCGTCAAACAACCGGTTCTAAGCTAATATGTTAAACAACCGTTCATTAGCTTCTGTGCCAGCACTGAGGTTTACCTATACACCGATCATTCAGCACATATCCTGCGCCATTTGTTTTCTACCTGAGAGCGCAAACAACTAAGGTTTGCTACTGTATGCAATTAGTGTTCTGTAAATAGCACCCTAGATATTGTGTCCACTCTGTGTTTTGAGCAATTTGGGATCGGCTATTAAGCGTACCGCAGTAGTATGTCCCAAAAACGGCCTCAGAGTTGAGATATCATAACATTCATATGCTATATTGGTTGAAAAGCAGTAGCCAAAGAAAGACGGCAGGACCATTAGGAGTTAGCAATATAACGGTTAGAAACATCCAACACCATAAGCATGAGCACTTGGAGAGATATGAGGGTAAAGAGAAAATTTAGATAACATGAAAACCACAGAAACTCCAAAAGAGGATGATGCCAGGCATTTTTTAATGCAACTGAAGACATTTTCAGTAGAAAATATTCAAGCATGCTTAGCAGTTTAGCTTGTGCTGAGACAGATTTCTTCAATTACGTTTGTGATAAGAGAAGGAAACAGACAAAGAATAACTTTTTCTGAAAAAAATGATTTAACAGAAAGACACTGTGTTCTAATTTATTATGATTGAACTATGTTTACCTTTATGTAAGAGCTCATTTAATATATTCGAAACAGGGTGCAGGTGAAATAAATTTCATATTACCCAACTCGCAACGGGAAAGTAAGGTACGTAAAGTATTTGTATGGGACCTCCATACGTTGACCAGTTTGGTCCAGTCAGTTGAGTGGCCAACTTACAGTTTTGCTGTAGTTGTCTCAGTGGCGAGAGTCTGTGTGGCTGATTCCTGCTACATGAAACCGTAGCTCCGATCCTATTTAGGTAAACCGTGATTTGCTAATTCCATACTGATCGTCATAGCACGAACCTAATGGAAGTAACAGCCAGCGCTTATCTCTACTGATCCGATATTGATACCGAAAAATTGGTTCAATGTTACTTAGGCTACCAACCGGAAACTAAGCTGCCGTCTCAGCAACCACCTGTCTGTTGGCAACCAGCAGAAAAACCGTTATCCAGTGCACACATTGACTACGTTCATATAATAAACGACATTTTCTTGTTGGTCCTGATTGACATCAACTCGTTTGGACTGAAGTTGGCCCTATGACCATAACGGCCACGTTGGATTGCATGCACTTCCCGATGCATTGGTGTCCTTTAACAGCTATCGGATCAAGTATCCGATGTCTGAACAGATCTGCAGTAGTTACGGCATCTGGCACTCGCTCATCCCCAGTACAACGACCAGGCGGAAAGTTCCAAGAGACCTTGTGCGAAGGGAACTGTGCACACAGATAATAAGGCGCTCCTGTTCTCTTACAGGAGTACACAAAATTCACTAGTCCTAAAGGCCGTTCTCATGCAGAATCATTGGCGGGTCGGAAGCTGTGCACAGCGTACGAAGCGCTCGTTTCGACCGAGGAGCAATGAAATGTTTTTCGAAATCGTACTGGCTTTGATATTGAAGCTCCTGTCTACATTTATGGTTACCGACTTGTGTATAAACATCAGATCGATCCAGAGTGACGGATCACTGAGGCGGTATGCTATAAGACGTCTCTGTGGGCGACGGGACATGGGTCCAGGGCTGCAATAAACTTTGGCCGCAACTCGGAAGTATTTCCACACCAGTCGGTCGATCTGCGCATTTGTCGCTACACATTTCTTCGGATAACTTCAGGATCATCAAGGAACGACCAGCATCTGAAGCTGCAAATTGTCAAGCAAGTTCAAACACATCGCTACCTTGGAGTTATGTGTTCGCTCAAAACCACACCCCACACCCGGTTCAGTTTACTACTTCGTACAATTGAACACATACTTTAGGTGCATGGAATAGGTGCGGCATAGGTTCAAGGTCGCACAACACTGAGCTCACCATTGGTTTAGGTCAGTAAACGTACTCCATTAAAGACCAGTCGTAACTTTTGAGCTTACGGTTCAGATGTGGGCAACGCCGTCTGCCTCGCGTTATCGTTGGTTTGTGTGTTACTCTCTCTGGACGGTGATCTTCTCCGTCATGCGTCCAGTAGCTAGGATTCGCAGTATCGTTCAGCCAATATCCACATTTCGCTCATCTACAGTGCGCATGGGGATAGACTGCAAAACGGTCGCTTGGTCCGTTCGAGCACAGAACTAAGGGGGATTACAGCCGGACGAATTTCAAAAAGAAGACGAGTGAGATGCAATATGGGTAGTGCTGATGCATGGGCTTATCACCTTGTTATAGATCAAGGTTATAAAACAACTCAACCGCAAAGGTAGACATCACATGAAACGGAACGAACAAATAAAGTCAGTTGGTGATGGTGGTGGGTAAAAGAGAAACTGATTAAAAGCTCGAGTCACCGCAGCGCGGTGCGGGAGCACGGAAACAAACGAGCCACCATGGCCACAGGAATAGCAGGTCAGATACGCAAGTGTATAGGGGTCCTGCGAGTTCTAAAGGGCGCGTATACACATCGGAGCTGGAGAGTCTGAAGCCGAAGAGGCCACATCGGAGAAATGAACAGAAGAGGTGTGGATATGCATAGAAACGCCACCATGACAGTGAGGAGAATATGTCATGTGCCGCTGATTTCCCGAAAAGGAAAAGGCGTGGTTGTGTGTGTGATGGTGTGACTGACACGAATTAATGCGAAGGGACTGGGTGCAATTAGGCCAAGAATGACGCAAGCAGTGCGACACCACGCTCGTAGAACCGGTTCGTCGCCTCCTTTGTAGCCAGTTGCACGGTAAACAAAACGGAAGAACGGGATCCGTTCATATAGACTGGAAGCCGAACGATACCATCCTTCTCTACACGGCGCTCGACTTGAGCTTCAGTGGATAGTCTACAAGAGAGATGAATAACAGAAAAATGACCTAAAACAGGGACCGCAGCTGAGCAAGTAAGTAGATGGAGAACAGAAAACATGAAATTGAAACGAGAGAGGGATAGTTTCAGAGGGATTTGAATACAAAACGGTTTTTACAGGTTTTTATCATAGCAACGTTTCGCTTTTAAAGCAAGAGCTTCTTCAGGCTAGGTGGATCGGTACACAATTGACTTAGCTTTTTATGGGAAAGTATGGTGAAGATTGAAAGAAATAACACGAATAATTGGAAAACAGTGTTACAGGTCAATAGGCCAAGCGGCTTACTATGAAAAATGCGACGGAGATGCAAGGGTCACAATTAGACGAGCACCACCTCGACATTACATCGCAGATGCACGATGTGAAAGTTAGGGTTATCGTCTGGGCTGGACAGTTTGAGCGTATACGTCTCACCACTAAACTAAGCGACAAACGTTTAACGAACCTGACTGCGTTTCTGCTGCGAATGCTAGTTAGAGGGAGCGTTTCAATTTTCCCATAGACTTACATTCCGACTTGGGGTAAACGGTTATCCCGTATCGCGGCGACTCGGTTGCATGCTGATGGAACTCCACCAGGAGTGCTAAGGCGTGCTGGGTTTATTTATTCATCTGCTTCTAACTTTCTTCCGCTATTTTGATGTTCTCCGAGTCGAAGTACTGCTTTTCAGATGATGACAGGAGTGGTCTCTGATTATGCCGTTAGCTAAGTGGACCATGTATATGTAGCTTCATATCAAGCCAGATTCCTTTTTAAACCGCGTATTCGTAGCTATGTTTGTAGAAGATTCTGTGTATCACATTGAGGTTTCCCCTCTACCTAGTATGCCTCTGGACTTTAAAGTTCACTTCTGATCATTTAAGCTGACCAGGTGATTGCTTTGGGTACCGACGGACAATACAAGTTTCATGATCCACCATTTCAGAAATTGCTTCGCAACAGGTCAGAATAACTTTGCTTCCTCCGTGAATGGCAGTGGTGCGCCTTCTCAGATTTAAGGCAATGCTCTGGGTACTAATTTCTTTCAACTAGATCGAATACTTTGTCCCCTACGCTTGTTTCAACTGTGATGTGCCGTGATGTGTGCGGACTCGTGTGGTCACAGTTCCCATGCAACTGAGTGTTTGGACTAGGGAGTAATTGTCGTAGTAGTTCTGCTTACAGTCTGTATGTAATGACTCCATATGAGCCACTGTTTCCGATGACTACAAAAGTTTGTCTTATTAGGTGAAGGCAAAACATGACGCTTGGTCCCTGTTTTGACATTCTCCGGAAATCTGAGTATTAGTGGAACTGGCTAGTTGATGCGTATTCCGCGTCAAACAGGATAAAGAATGCACTATGCAGATAGCAACTTGATCATGTAGAGTACAGGAGAACGAATAGGTGGCACCAGCTGATCGTCTGTCTCGGATCAGCGGATACCTGCCCAACTCAACGCCAATAAGAAATCCACGCAAGTTGAAATGCGATCTCGAAGAGGAGGAAGCAGAGAGGCAACTCGTCTAGTAGGATAGGAAAATGAGAGTGATGGCACCTCGTATAGTGAAAAAACGTCTGCAAACTGTCTGGCCCAGATATCGCTGCAACACTTTGATCAGCACATACCGAAATATGAAAATTCGTACATATGAAGCTATATACAGACATCCGAAAGCTACGTTACCAGGAAATGATCAAAGTGAGCTTATCATGAAATAAAATTAAATAAATAAACAAGTTATTAAACGGTGTATTCCTCGATGGTGCGAAGCACAGTCCAACTGAGTGGTCTGATCAGTATATACAACGAGGTCGCACAAAACAGATAATTATTCGAGTTTACCAAGCCGATTCCAAAACAAATTTTTACAGTGATTGATAGGTTGAATGTAACAGACAGAGTGAAAGGTTGGAAATAACATGTTAACTTTAGATGTTTGAAACAATGGCAGTGGATCACCGCCAATGTGTATCAGAAAGAAAAATGCCGGTTGCACAAGCGGCAGTCACCGACGAAGCAAAGCCCCTCGACGTCATGCACTTGATGCTGTAGCACATGCGGTCGTGTGTGCCTCAACCGAGTCGGTCCGCTAAGCTATCGAGGTGGCCGCGAGGAGTCGGTATTGAAAAGGCAACGGTTAGATTAGGTGGGTAAGCGTCAGTGCACGGTAAATACGCTTTCCCCGCCAAGCCCAGTAATGCGGCAGAAGTGGCACGTGTGCCGCATCACCACTGCAGTTGGTCGTCACATGTGCCTGTCAGTCTGTGTTGTCGCACATTTGACGAGTTTTTCCGGTTCGCATCCCAAATATGGCTGCGCTTGATGCCAATGTTGACAAGGTGCTGGCTGTTGAAAATCGCCACCTCGATTATCGGGTCATCATGACAGTGCTAGACTCAAAGAGTGGTTCCGTCCAGTGTGGGATGGGCTGCAACACAGCCAACGTCCTGTGCACGACTGACATGCATGTTTCCTCCTGTTCAAATGACTGAATGATGTGCGCTTGAAGGAGTGTGGGCCAGGTCCGAAGCAATCGTGGCTTGGGAGCGACATGCATCCAGTCCTATTCTTTTGGGTTTACACTGGACATGTAGATGGAGTTATGGGTGATGCACCGCAGGCCACCCTTGCTCGCTCAGTAAGCGGTGTCCTGTGGTTGTTCTCAGTCCCAGTGACAGACACGGGTGACAGGAAACGGATGCCACCATATATATCGATATGACGCAGTGTAGTAGGTGGTGGGAGACCGTAGGATCCTACCAGGTATTCACGATTCAGGTAACTCAACCAGGGAATTCGGACTAGGTAAAACAGTTAGACAAACTATGTGGTCTTTAAAATGCATCAGAGTTGAGCGAACTGGTAAGAACGGTGGCACATCATACTAACCTGATCCATTTTAAAACGGTGAATGGCAAAACCACGGAGATCGTATCAGACAAGCAAAGAGTGGATGCGTTCACTGGTTCGGCGCCCATCAGCCACAAATCACGGACAACGAACGCGCCTGCCTCGGCCGATGGGGACTGAGTCGAAGTGACGGGCACAACTAAGCTGACATCCAGATAGAGTTCTTCCAAGGCCCATCCGTTGGACTGAGCCACAAACTGACGGGTAGCGGTGATGTAAGCCTCCGGCATGAAAAGACCCCCGAGCCAAACCTGGACGGCATAATACGTTGATAAGCAGTGGCGGCGAAAAAAAGATGCGCGCAGTAAAAATTACGAGAAGATGCCTTGCTATGACTTGCCTGAATGCTCTGCAAAGCAACAACACCGCTTGATCCGGCAGTTTCACTGATCATAATAAGTTGTTTAATGCGCAGTGCAAAGTCGTTGATCCACTGAATGACTGTCATATTCTTAGGGATCGTGTAACGTTGCCAATCATCAGGGATCAAGCCTTTCACTAATTCGGACATAAGATTACGATGGCGATTCGTGGGCTTCTGTTCTCCGGAGCAGACCTTTAAGAGTACAGAGTCAGAAACAGAACGAGATTGTGGTAGGTAGGTAATTGAGAAGAGTGAAATGGCGGGAATACCAAACTAAGAGCAAAGTAAACTGAGCACAGGCAATTGGAATTGCGTGCAACTCAGAGCGTAGGACGAACAAATTATTTTGGTGACCAATAAGGACAAGAGCACGGATTTGCGAAAAAAGGTATGAAAATCGGCAAACGAAATAAAAAAGGAGCTTGATAAAACTTTAATGATGTGAACTAGTTTCAGAAAGTAGGACCTATAGCGAGGTGTGTAGAGCCGGCAGGATTTCGGAAATGTTATTAGCACAAACAGATAGAAAACCAATTTGAGAACGGTTACTCACGGCAATCACAACTTCCAAATCATGTCGAACAGAGGAGAGCAAGTTCGCGCCGCTGTTGACTTCACGCTCAAAGAAGCGATACAAAGGATCGCGGAGGTTTTCGGTAGTGCGAGTAAGACGTTTAAGAGATTTTGGCAACAAACAGAGCCATGACGTGGCGCTCGTGAGCAACTGACGCATCCAAGCGGGCCGACTATCAGTGACCACAGACGACTTTTTCCGATCAAACGCACTGGTCACCAAAGACTCATCGTCAGTGACAGCCTCTTGAAGTTTTAGGAGATTATTCGTCATCTCCTGACCTAGAACGAATAAAATTTGGGAAGATAGAGCAGTCATTGTAACAGTAGAGAACTACACAGAGAAGAGTTCCCAAACAACGGAAATGCTGTTCTATGTGCTGTGTGAGCAAACAGTGCGGAGAAAAGGGATGAAAGAACCACCGCCCCCCACCGCACGTTGAACTAACCGAACGTTTCAGGAGCTTTGCTGTTTGCCTCCTCTTGCTCCAGTGCTAATATTTTGCGCAAATCGCCCTCGAAGTTGATAGCTTTAGGTTATTGCGGAAAGCAGAAAAACTTATAAAAGTTAGCAATATGGCCGAGTAACAAATGGAGCAAACGAAAGCCATGGAGCTTACGAACTATACATATAAAGTGTAGGAAGTGTCCGTAAGAAAATATTTGCTGGCTGAATGGGGCCACATACGATGACATCTCGATGTCTCGTATCGCGGAGAAATGAGACGCAGAACAACAGACTGGCATGTAGAGTTAGTAAACCAATAATGACATCGCGGAAAAGGAGGCCAGAACAAGAAAGACTGAAGCAAATGTCACATATGGGTTGAGTAGCATTACGTGTGAGAATTTGTAGTTAAATTGGTAGCCAACTATGCAACTGGGTAGTACAGTAAAAAGAAATAATTGGATAAGCTATTAATACCTGGACAGAATGATTACGGTACAACTCGCTCAGGTAAGAGGCCGGAAAAGACGCAAACGCACCTAGATTGGTGAGGAGTACTTTTTCAGCATTGTTGGGCAACCCCAACCAGGAAGGGGTTTGTATATCAGGTAATTGCTGGATCCATGACAGTAAAGCTTCACGAGTGCTTCCCTCGGGCACGAAAATGTGCTTACCACTTTGACCATCGACGTTTTGCACTAGTTGGAAGTTGTGCTGTAAAACAATGGCACGAAGGTATGCGTGAGCGCAGAAAGCAAGCTTTAGAGTAGGGACGAACCAAGCTAGTTGAGAAGACTGAACGTGTGAGTGATGCAACTCGAGGTCCCTAATCTCATGGGGCATGAGACCACGGCCATGCGACGGGACTACGGGGCATACTTGCCTTCGAGTGACAGCAAATTGAAGTGGTATCACCGGAATCAGTTTCTGATTGAACAAACGCTTCAACACCATTCGGTTTACATTCAATTTGGCTTTATGGATAGTATGCAGTCAAAAACTAGACTGTCAGGTAAGTCCTTTAGATACGAGAGAGGAGTGTGGGCCGCGAACGTGATAAACGTAGAGCATCCGAAGATCATGTGTGGCGAAAGGATTTTACACAGAAGTCTGATATAATTTACGGAATCCTGTAGAGTAGCAGTAAGAGCTGTCTGGTAGATGAGGGATGTCACTGGGAAATTCATGACAATGATGATGCAGTCGAGTGGAGAGTTGGAAAGAAACCCATAGGGTCAAACGCAAAAGCAATTGCAAGCAACCACAGCATCAGAAATGAAAGAATCCTGTGTGGTACTATATAAGCTGGTCCAAAGACACAGCTCTAAAAGATGGCAGTTCTTTCCAATGAGAATCACCCACACCGAATTTACCGTGTAGGCAATTTGTAGACAAAGAAACAGCGATCAGCTCGATTAAGGCAAAAATGAACGGGTATCAGTGAAGTAGAATTATCACTACGTAGAGCCGAGCAAAAAGGATGTCTGATTACAGGTCAACACAGGCTACAGGTAGCCAACAAGCTTCACTTAGGAGAAGCACGAATGGCTTATCAACTGAAGGTAGTACCTCCGAAAACAAACTACGGTAGGTGAAACAGGAGCTGATTTCAAGGTCCCAAGATCGGGGTAAGAGCAAGTGCCACGCGGATACGAGCAGCGAGACGAGAATGCGGGATAGAAATATCTGGCACAATAGTTGTGTTTTCCCCCTCTAGCTAACGTGTATAATGATGATGATGAGGAATTCGAGAAGAAAGTTGGTCCCATTGCATCCGATCGTAATGGTGATATTGCATTCAGCACAAACATAAACATTAGCCACAGTCAGTGAGAGAGAAGGTTGCCTTGGTGTCTCACTATCATTCTATTAATAAAGAGTAAGAAGAAGGGAGCACATACGCGTTCCAAGCAAACGATTAGGATAGAGACGCATGCACCTTGCCAGCGTGGCACATGATCACAAACAGTTGGCTATCGTGCGAAGGCAAGGGAGTATCAAAGTGGTTTTCACGGTCCCGTATGAGCAACCGTACACGACGGATAACTGACATAAACACTACAAACAGCGTGTTTGGTTGGGAGACGAAGGTAAGTGCCTTACTGGGACCGGTTAAGGGTCATGCCCTTTACGTCATAACTCCAGTCTGGAAAATTAGACGGACCGACAGCGCTCAGCTGAAGCGCCGGTGACTTCATCTCTTGGTACCAGGGCAACAGAGGCTCAGTTCAAAAACGTGCACGCACATGCCTAAAAATTAATTCCACCCGCCATCAAAATTAGCGGATTCTGATAAGGCTCCTGTGAGACACAAGCACATTAAACCGTCTAGTTAGCCGTGAAAAAAGAAGCTGCATAGGGTTGAGGAATTGAAACGAGTGAAAGAAGCCCTGTTGGCTGCGGAGAGTAGCAGTAAAGCGCTTTTCCGGAGCAAATACTGTATACAAAAATGACAATGTGTAGACGGAGAAACAGCTGAAAAACAGCGGCGTATTTTAAAAACCCCCAAAAAGAGCATACTTCGAAACTGGCTTCGGTAAACAGGACGGACAAAAAAGTTTCCATCAAGCGCTGGTCGAATAAATTATCAATCTTTCCACCGTATATGCTCTGCCCAAGCAGTGTGCGTAAAGCTGCCCATGGCACCTTTGCTGGCGGAATGTTAGTCCTGCCCATTGCAGCACTATCAACCCAAGTGTCCACAGTGTCACAGGCGACTTTCAGATCGGATTCGTTGAATTCATAGCGTTTGGACCAGCCCAGAGGAACGTAGCGTAGGCGCTCCTGGACGACAGCGTTGAACCAAGCTAGTAAGAAATACAGCCGGCAGCGTTCAGCAGGAGTGCGAGTAATGCGACTGGCAGGAATACTGGCGAAGGTACGTAGGAGACTGGACTGGAGTAACAGAAAATGGACGAGAGAAGAGTGCATAACCGCCGTCATCGTTATGCGTGGGGTGTAATGGGGCAGCAAAGTTTGACTGATCATTTTATAACTCTATACTAGAAATCAAGAGTAACTCAGCTAGAGGGCCTAAATCAAATGACTGTACACGACTCCCATATCGTGGATGTGCCTCCCTAAAGTAAAACACAGATACAGCGATGCAGAAGTATGAGAAAAAAATATAAGCGCACTGTCAGAATGAGTTGAAAAATAATGGATCTTTTTCGCTTGATAACGGGAAGGAAACAGAGCAAAGAAAGGGCACACTGCCGGTGGAACTAAGTGGACAGACAATACTGACCGGTTGCCCAATACAAAGGGAAACCTGAGCGAGATCTCCCAACCTAACCTCTGGTATGCTCTAATCCACAAGATATTCCGGAGAAGGTTCAGTGTAGAAAGTAGATGCACAGTTCTAAACGGATATGCTTGAAGACATTTGCAGACAGTCTTAAGTTTAGGACGATTTACTTGAAATTTGCGCCCACACAAGATTAAGTGAAGCGCACAATAGGTGAACCACATGCGAGCGTTAGCTGCTTTGCACCCTATGAGTAAAAGGCTCTTTGGTTTGAGCTCGTGAGGGGTAGCAAATCAGTGAGCAGCAGTTGTGCTCATCCAACGTGTGAGACAACCCGTGCTTAGTTCCAACCGATCTGAACCGATAGTCCACAAATTTTTTATCTGCCTTGGCCGTTATACTGAGAAGAGACGATCGCCTGCTGGCTAAGATACGTTGAAGATGACGTGGAGACCGTCTAGACAGTAATCATTGACCTGTCGGGTAGTAGTGGCTCTGAAACTACTTGAAAAGAACCACCCAGCGAAACTCAATGGATCAATGAAGCGGGCTAAGTACAGCACACGTTAGCAACACAACCTTCAGCCTACTATCATGAGGCTCCCTCCACAGCATGCTGATTGCGAAAGTCCGTCATAGGGAGGCAACCGGCCGCCAACATAGACGTCTGCAATTATGGCTGATCCAGTGACACCGGTCGGTTCACTCGATCCGATGTGTATTACCACTTTGTTGAAGGCAAACCGACAGATTCCTACATCCGTGCGCATTCACGAGCATGAGCGTGGCAAAGGATTTCGTGCTGGGAAAATTGCAAGGGCAGGGAAACATCGGTCTCGATTATTTTATTTCCGTTCACCATTCCTACAAATTAGTCCTTTGACTGCCCATCAGCGTGTTCGACGATGTGCACCCGTTAATGGTGACTCAGTCGGTGTGTCTCTGTCTCATGTTTTTTTTGTATTGCGGCACAATAGCTGAGGTATTTTCTACCTTCAGATAACGTGTACGATGATGATGATCATGATGTGTTCGACGAACTCAACCTGACTGCTATTGCTCCAATGATTGGAGTATGTATACACCTCCATACGAGGCACGCGCGGCAATGCTTTGTTGGGATTCACCTATCGAACTTAGACACAATGACACATGGAAAGTTACCGCCTTCTTCATGCTCCTCTTACTTTGGCAATAATCTGCAGCCTACGAGGATTAAAGTGCACTACGTTTGTGTACCTGATCAGCTTCGCCTGCCTCTATTGCTGGTCAGGAAGTGTGACGCAATCGGATGGACGACGCTTTGGAGGTCGGTCACTTCGGGACAATGGGCCGAGTATGAGTCGATTCCTCGTCTTAACCCTTTATGTCCTGGCGGTACTTATATCACTTTGTTTAAATCGTAATACTGCTTCACTGCAAGCGTCATTCCTGCTAGTACTCGCGAGGATACGTACAATACCCTGCTGTTAACAACTAAGTAAGGACCAGAACTCTAGTACGTTGCTCTACAGTGTGTGTAGTAAACTTTTGTGGTTTATATCCAGCTATCGGTAAATTAATTCAGGACTCAAAGGGTTAAGTCACAGTTCAGTAAGATGCAAATCTTGCTTTGTCAGTCTCATGAAAAATAAGCATCGCTTAATCAGATTCAGTGAGCGTCAATGGAAAAAAGTTGTGTGAATACGAGTACATCTTGGATTCAGTTACAGAGAAGAAATGAACGAAAACCAATTGCTGCCATGACCGCACTAAGAAAGAAGGCGAAGAAGGCCCACCGTACTAACGCTTCGATGCTATGCGACCACTAACAGAAGCACGTAGGCTGGGTTATACCGTGAGGTCACCCGAATCTACGTGGATTACAAGGCAAGCTCGGAATCATTTCGGCCGGTGAGCGATTGCACTGGAATGAGTGATTGAATGCTAATGTTTCTCATATAGGATTGATTTTTCAGAATCGGCCTTGATTCCTTATGCCAACAGAAAGCGCACATGGAAGATCCAGCTTTTGTTTTCGAAGTCAAAATTAGAGCTCAAGCTTTGAAACTCCTATAGACACGGTGCTGCAAGGAACGAAAAATATATGCTTCTTGCTTTGCATCGGTTAAGTCGCAAGTCGTCCACCGTGTAAGTAACACCGTCGAGGTCATCCAACATTTATTTCAATTGCGTACACAACCCAAAAACCGTTTTCTTTTGCTATCGTATTACGTTCTTTTTTCTACCATGGTTCTGATGGCATATTATCTGTAACCAGGCTGCGAAGTTAGGAAGAAGTGTCGTACGTGGAGCAGCGCGAACTAGTGTTATTACCGACAACCACAACGGCAACCACAACCACAAAGTCTTTGGTCCGATCTCCGAATTCGGTCACCATTGGATGAATGACAAAACAGATCGTGAAAAGGAGCATTGAGAGTGAACTAGATCGTGAACATCTGTCGTCGTGCATTATGCCCCAATATGTCTCCTAATAAGTTTTATATTTCTCCAGGGTCGGCATTTGATGCCAAGAAGCACTCGACAATTGAGCTGTGAATGACAGCAATAGTTACATCGATTCGCTCCAACCGGTGCCGGTGTGCAGTGTGGATCCAGGGAGCGAACGAAAGATGTAATGCCATGGCATGTTTCGAGCAACGATAAGTACTTTCTGGAATCTCGGTTTCAGGCGATTCTTCCGTAAGCAAAGTGCGCACACATGCTCAGAAGGACACAATGATGATAATCTACAGTACCGTATAGCACAGTTAGTTAAAAGTAAAACTTTTCTTCATGGCGTATAAATGTGGGAATCGGTGAACATATTGTCTAAAAGGGGCTCCCGTAGCTAAGCGCAATCGAATAGCGACAGTTGCACCGAGTGACCTTACATAGAACCCATTCGTAGTGTGCGTTCCCAAACCGATGAGAGGCATCCCAAGAGACAATAATGTGATGGTAGAATCACGCCCCGATGTTGGCAGCTCGTTGGACGATACGATACGGGATGCCGGCTTGGATGGACCAATGCGTGAAGTATTCCACTCATAAACGACGTAATAACTCAGTATCAAGAGGGAGACGGTGGTGATATCTGAAAACAGTCATTGTGGCGGATAGGATTACATGGTGATATACTTCTAAAGAAGAAGGATGCGAGTATTTATAAGTGAGCGAATCCAGAGATGTTTTCAGAGCAGTGCAACAGAAAGCGAGCTGTTCAAAAGTGAAGTCAGAAACGAGTGATGGTGCATAAAAATGAGTGTTTTATCCAAGTATAGGTACCTTGATTCCTGGCGGTGGTTCAAAGACAAACACCCGTCCGGCTCGGAGCAAGTTGATCGGGATTTTGGGATTGATTTCCATGGTGAGAAAGAGACGGAAGTTTGGATGTGGTTGCACATTGTGCAGCTTCTTTTCTAACTGTACCAACCAGCCGGGGGCCAAGTGTACGTTCTTCAGCATCACCCATTTGCCACTTTTGGCGGCCGAATTGATGGCCTTGTCAGCCTGCGAAAACCCTTCGGCTGAGCCGATAGCTATGCTCGCCAGCTGCTTCTGGTGCTCTGAGGCCATGTCCTCAATACGACCGCTGGGATCGAAGCCCTGGGGGAGAGAAAGAATGACAGTAGGAGTTTGGTTTGTGAAGTACAAACAGCTATGGGGAAATGCAAAGTTTGGCAAAGGAAACAGCACACAGTAGCAAAGAGTTGCCATCAAGAGAAACATGGCCGGAGCACTGATTGTCTGTAACGGCGCGTCATAGATGTGAGTACAGTGAAACAACGACAGGCTTAGCTTTTCGGAAAAAAACTTGCCTGACGACTGAAGGAAATGGGTTTGATAAACTCTATGTGATGAGATTTGTTGTGGAGCCCATTGTTACAGTCCGGGCTGATCAACCACACAACAGTACTTATGAGGAGAAAGTTTAGTTGCGGACCAGCGGCATCTATGTGACTTATGCCAAACAGTGCGTTTACAGGGGTTTCCGAGATCTAAGACTATGACGGAAGTAAAAGAAAAGTAGACTGGAGATTGATATTCAGTGCGAGGACTGCTTTTGTTTCTCAGTTTGAAAGAAGTTCTACGCAGAGAGAGAGCATATTTGAGCTGCACACAGTGGGCCGCCCCAAAAGCGGAGTCTAGAAAAAATATTCTGTTTGTCGCTTGTTTCAGCTGCACAGTAACACTTATGATAAGGTAACCAGGAAATGAGCCGATAAGATTCGATATGATGCGAAATGCTTTGATGCTACAGTACAGTAGTACAGTTCAGTTTATTGTAGTTATCTAAACTCAGAAATTTGCCCCACAACTCCGAATAAGAATATCTGGAAACAAAAATTGTCGGGTTACTTACTCGTTTTGTACGACACCTTCAATCGCAAACATGCATTCAACAATATTTAACACAAAAGTACATGCGAAAACGAATACGGGTGTGATTATTAGTATGCTAAGTGCTATCAGGGCATCTTTGGGGTCAATGTTAGCTGCCTCTGCACATGGGGCCACCACTATTCTAAGTCGGTGATACTATAAAGGACACAACTAAGGTTGAGGGGCATTCAATCACGGGTGACGACAGTAAAGTATATATAGTGGGGTTAACTCGAAGAACGTGTTCAGCGCCTGCTTTATGGTTGTTTTGGAAGTACCACCTCTGGATTCACCCTCCAAAGATCTTATCTGTTGACACAAGAAGTTGGGGAGACGTTAATCGATTCTGGCATACAAGCTTTGGTTAGCGAGTCCATGCCTAGAGTTGTGGCTCGAACTTTTCGGGGATAGACTTTATTTATTTACTTAGAATGGCTACCGCCACAGATTTCGCCTGACTCGAGTTCGTAAGCAAGTTCAATCCGCTGGTTACGGTTGCTTAAGAGACAAAAGTTTGCAAACGGTCTGAGACAGTTACTTACGTAAGCAGCAGAACTCGAAAATTGCTGGCAGTACGCAACGCAGCATGGCACGAGTGTAGATTATCCCAAACACCAGAAAGCCGGGATAACTACGTAGCTCAACGAAACCACTGCACTCAACTGCTCAGAGGGGCTAAAGTCGCGCGTCAGCCGAACATGGCAAAAGCCTTTAGCGCCAATCACAAACTGTTGTATAAGCACGTCAATGGTCTACGGAAGGTGAGACAAGGAGTTCCGCCACTCACGACGGCTGATGGCCCAACCCGAACGGTTACGGAAGCAGTAAACGCGCTGCGAATGTAATATGCCCCAAACTTCCAAGGGTATTACCAGCAGGAAACTTGCCAGCTATTATCGCCCCGTCGTCGGGACTCACATCTCCCTTACCACCGAAGCTGACAATTCTACGCAAGCACAAATCCCTGAGTGTCGATACTATTCGCCCAGAGACGCTGGGAGCAGCAGCAAGACAACTGGCGGAGCCACTGCCTCAGTTCCTCCAGCGCTGCTTAGACCAGAGCCAAGCTCCTATCATGTGGAAGCTTGGCATAATAACACTCATTTAAAAAGGTGGAAGCAGAACCGATGCTTCAAAGCACCGCCCAGTTGCACTTCCCCCTATACAGTCCAAGGTGATGGAATCCATCATAACCGATGCGCTGGTGAGCTTCGTAGAAAACGCTAAAATTACTATTTTTGAACAGCACGGCTTTCGTCGAAATCGATCGGGCACAACGAAATCGCTAATAGCACAGAGTAGCTGAACCCAGTCAGCTGACGCTGGAGAGGATGTTCATGTGATCTACCTGGATTTCTCGAAAGTATTCGACCGTCTAGATCATCGGATACTCCTTTCCAAGCTACAGCGTTACGGGATCGGTGACCCTCTTCAAAGCTGATTCGCCAACTATCTCCTTCAGCGGCAATTGGTGGTCAAAGTTCGGAGCTTCTTCTCTGACCCCATACAAGTTGAATGTAGTGTGCCTAAAGACTCGGTGCTAGGTCCCCGATTGTTCAGCAATAACCTCACGCAAAAAATTACATCTAACTTCCTGCTGTTTACCGATAAGGTCAACATTTAGCGCAAGGTTCAGGG